AGTCATGTGGTGGCAAAATTTTGTATAAAAATTGTTTGAGTGAGAAATCTTATGAAAATTCTTGAAAAAAATAATTTCAAAATTTCTTCTAGGCCGCGTTCAGAGTTATTCAGAGTTAGTTAGTTCAGAGTGTTCCAGTGTTCCAAAGCCGTGCCAACGCCGTGCCGGAACCCTGTGCACGCGACACGCCGCTGGAATAGCGTTCACTGGCAACTCCGAACGCAGCCTCAACTCTATTTCAAAACGGGATCTTTTTTGGTGGGATTAACGATGAAAAAGTTTTGAAACACGAGATTTTATGGGAAAAAATGAAGCGGAGCTTACCATTTTCACTATCGAATGCAATATATTCTCTACGTTTATCAAGCTCTGCTTGTATTGCTGATAATAGGCCACCATCACCCGGCATGGACTGAAACGAGTAAAACATTTCATAATCGATAAAAAAATTGGTTAAAACCGAAAAAACAGGAAAAAAACATATAAAATTTTCATAAAAGAAAAAACACTTACATCACCATTAGTCAATGTTCTAGACGATAAGTTAACATGTCGTAGCTTTGCTTTGTCAACTCTTTGAATTTCCTAAATGAGAAAATTCAAAAAAAAAGATTTCTTCAATATACAAAAACGATGAATTGTTTTTACTTGTGAATTGTTGTACTTTTAATTTATTTTGATCTAATTTTTCAAAATTCTTAGAAACAGGTCAATACCGCAAAAAGATTCGAAGGGTGTGGCTGTCGCCACGAACCATCTTTGTAATTTCAAGGCCATGAACTAGCATTAAACTCTAAAAAATTTCCTAAAAATTCTGAGATTTCATTCGTTCAAAAAAGTTCTGCCCTTCTCTCACCGAAAATTCCACGCACCAAATAACAGAGATTTTCATATTTCCGCTTTTGAAAAAATTGGTTTGCTCACCTCTAAAAAACTTCTTCGATTGTCATCAATCGTTGGGGACACTTCCGATATGCGTTGCTTCACCTCGGATGGTGGTGGAGTGGGGGCTGGTGACAGTAAACCAGGTGGCGGTGGTGGAGGTCCTGACGGGAGAAGTAATGTCGTAGGGCCAGTTACGGTTAGTGGGTCGAGTTTGGTGGCATGATGGGGCACAGGAGACGATTGGCTCGATGGTGGTGTGGGTGGAGGCGATTGAGTCGGAGCTTGTGCACCATTCGGTAGAGGAATTTCGATTCTCCATGTTGGATGGTTCAGGTCTAAATTAGGGAAATTAATGACACAAAGTAGCGTTTATGGTGTAAATTAGCGAGGGGTATTA